AATAAAGACCCTTAGTTTTTGAGAGTATAGTGTGAAGAACATTCGGTAACACTTTACAATAAGGTTCCATTAGTTAACATAAACTAACAATGTAAGATACTTCTAAAGCATGTATTAATCTTAGTTAATGTTGATTCCAATATTTACTTATACATTATTAAAATGAAAACGAATTGTATCTATTAATGTTAGTTAATCGATCTGAGCTAACATGGACTAACAATGAACAGCTGTTTTTCTATTAAGTAACGTTAACAAAGATTTACTGTAGCATTTTTACAGTCTTTTACCGTTAAATTCACGGTCATTTTTTACAGTACCATAGATGCAAATGAAGAAGCTTTATTTTAAATATGATACTGGGCTAGGTATGCTTAAAAACTTACCTTTTGTATGCGATGTCCTGTGACTTCCTGTAAAAGATATGCGATGATAGAGAGCTGCCGCAAAGACTGTCACTAAATTGTCACGCCCCCCTGTTGCAAACCCCCCAGCATATGCTGGTTAGGTATGTTTGAAGCATGGCAGCTGGTTTGAGCTGGTTTAAGCTGGTCTTAGTTGGTTATGAGCTGGTCCTGAGCAGGAGCTAGTTGCTTAGGACCAGCCTATAGGACCAGCTTAAACCAGCTCAAACCTGCCAGTTTGACTGCAAATCCACATTAAATGTTCACCACTAGAAGCTACTATTGGACAAGCCATAGCATAATTTCATGCTGCTTTCCCTCATCCTGAATCCTCAAGTAAAGATGTCCAGAGGACAAATCAAGTTTACGTTCATTGATACCCCAAAAACGAAAATTTGCTGAAAATGTATTCACCCTCAGGCCATCCAAGATGTAGACGAGTTTGTTTCTTCATAGATCCGGTGGATCCTCTGCAGTGAATGGGTGCCGTCAGATGCTACTTACAAACACGCAGCTTTTGTCTTCTCCAGATGTTAACTGCTGGACTGGAGTGGTGTGGATTATTGTGATGTTTTTATCAGCTGTTTGGACGCTCATTCTGACGGCACCCATTCACTGCAGAGACACTGATGCAATTTCTCCAAATCTGATGAAGAACAAACTCATCTTGGATCCCTGAGGGTGAGCACATTTTCAGCAAATTTTTGGGTGAACTGATTTCAATAGGACATTAAGAGGCCCTTTTCGACATATTCTGTTAACACATGAAGCATATATTTTATTTGATAAGGTTGTTACATCTGGTACTGTCAGTTTCAAATGACATATCCATCAAACATACACAATACTGGACACCAAGGTTAAAAAGATCAATTACAATAACAACAAAACAAGACCTGTCCTGAGTGAACGATGAATGGAAGTTACTCAAATAAGAGATTCAAATGTGTTTTGTCATTTGGGATATACACATAGCGGTGGTCCAAGCTGGTATTAAAGGAATTGTCCTGGAACATCCCGCACAATCCAAGGTGCTGTGAGAAGCTCTGGGATATGGGGTGATAGGAACAGGGCGAGGACTCAAACGTGGGTGATCGAGTGCCGTAGCGCCGGATGTGGTCTCATACATCAGGTTCTGAGATCTGGCCAGCGCTGGATCTTCAGGATTCGACATTATGACTGCAGCCTGAAAGGAGATAAAGGGTGGACTAAATCATTATTGTGTAATCCTTTTAGGAACTCAAAACATTTCATTGACCACTACTTTTTTATATTAAAAATATGATTTTAAGAATATAATAAATGCAATTCCCTGTAGTAATATAAATACAGATAATATAACCCTATAAAACTCTGAAATGGTCCCCCTATTATTTATTTATAAACGTCACTATTTATAATTTGGATATGCAAATGAATTTAACTAAATTTTACTTTTTATTTTTTAACTGCAAAGTGTTTAACTTTTTTTTTTGTTGTTATTTGTGTGCAATAAATTGTATAATAACTGTATACTGTACAGTTAGAAGTATTATTTATTTAAATAACATTTTATGTATTTTAATAAATGCATTTATTATTTTATGTATATTTTAATTGATTTTTGAACGTATTTGTTTTAATCAAATATCGTTTATTTAGTATTTATTTAAACCAAATTGGATTTATTTATTAATCAGGCTAAGTTAGATATATAGTTAATTTAATCTCAATTTAATTTTTATTTTTTTTGTACATTTTCTGTAAGCTTTCCACTTTTAACTCTGCAAATGTATGTAACCCTTTTTAACTGTATTTAACCCTTAACCCTTTTATTTTTAATTATGTTATTTACTAAATTTTTATATTTTATGCACTGAAATAATGCAATAAACATTCATTTAACAACATTAGGTGTAACACACAACCCTAATATACAAAACTGATAAGAAAAAACTAAGAAGAAACAGTTATTTCAACAAAAAAACATCAAATTTGAAATGCAATGCAGGGAATTCTGGGAATGTCAATTTACGGTTATTCACTGTAAATTATACGGTCTTTTTCACTTCCAAAAACGGTATACTACCGTAAAATTAATGTCCAATTCATGTAATGTCCAATACAGTTTTTCACCGTATATAGTAGGGGAATTTACCGTTAACCATTTAACAGGTTTTTACTGTAGCATTTTTACAGTCTTTTACCGTTAAATTCACGGTCATTTTTTACAGTACCATAGATGCAAATGAAGAAGCTTTATTTTAAATATGATACTGGGCTAGGTATGCTTAAAAACTTACCTTTTGTATGCGATGTCCTGTGACTTCCTGTAAAAGATATGCGATGATAGAGAGCTGCCGCAAAGACTGTCACTAAATTGTCACGCCCCCCTGTTGCAAACCCCCCAGCATATGCTGGTTAGGTATGTTTGAAGCATGGCAGCTGGTTTGAGCTGGTTTAAGCTGGTCTTAGTTGGTTATGAGCTGGTCCTGAGCAGGAGCTAGTTGCTTAGGACCAGCCTATAGGACCAGCTTAAACCAGCTCAAACCTGCCAGTTTGACTGCAAATCCACATTAAATGTTCACCACTAGAAGCTACTATTGGACAAGCCATAGCATAATTTCATGCTGCTTTCCCTCATCCTGAATCCTCAAGTAAAGATGTCCAGAGGACAAATCAAGTTTACGTTCATTGATACCCCAAAAACGAAAATTTGCTGAAAATGTATTCACCCTCAGGCCATCCAAGATGTAGACGAGTTTGTTTCTTCATAGATCCGGTGGATCCTCTGCAGTGAATGGGTGCCGTCAGATGCTACTTACAAACACGCAGCTTTTGTCTTCTCCAGATGTTAACTGCTGGACTGGAGTGGTGTGGATTATTGTGATGTTTTTATCAGCTGTTTGGACGCTCATTCTGACGGCACCCATTCACTGCAGAGACACTGATGCAATTTCTCCAAATCTGATGAAGAACAAACTCATCTTGGATCCCTGAGGGTGAGCACATTTTCAGCAAATTTTTGGGTGAACTGATTTCAATAGGACATTAAGAGGCCCTTTTCGACATATTCTGTTAACACATGAAGCATATATTTTATTTGATAAGGTTGTTACATCTGGTACTGTCAGTTTCAAATGACATATCCATCAAACATACACAATACTGGACACCAAGGTTAAAAAGATCAATTACAATAACAACAAAACAAGACCTGTCCTGAGTGAACGTTGAATGGAAGTTACTCAAATAAGAGATTCAAATGTGTTTTGTCATTTGGGATATACACATAGCGGTGGTCCAAGCTGGTATTAAAGGAATTGTCCTGGAACATCCCGCACAATCCAAGGTGCTGTGAGAAGCTCTGGGATATGGGGTGATAGGAGCAGGGCGAGGACTCAAACGTGGGTGATCGAGTGCCGTAGCGCCGGATGTGGTCTCATACATCAGGTTCTGAGATCTGGCCAGCGCTGGATCTTCAGGATTCGACATTATGACTGCAGCCTGAAAGGAGATAAAGGGTGGACTAAATCATTATTGTGTAATCCTTTTAGGAACTCAAAACATTTCATTGACCACTACTTTTTTATATTAAAAATATGATTTTAAGAATATAATAAATGCAATTCCCTGTAGTAATATAAATACAGATAATATAACCCTATAAAACTCTGAAATGGTCCCCCTATTATTTATTTATAAACGTCACTATTTATAATTTGGATATGCAAATGAATTTAACTAAATTTTACTTTTTATTTTTTAACTGCAAAGTGTTTAACTTTTTTTTTTTGTTGTTATTTGTGTGCAATAAATTGTATAATAACTGTATACTGTACAGTTAGAAGTATTATTTATTTAAATAACATTTTATGTATTTTAATAAATGCATTTATTATTTTATGTATATTTTAATTGATTTTTGAACGTATTTGTTTTAATCAAATATCGTTTATTTAGTATTTATTTAAACCAAATTGGATTTATTTATTAATCAGGCTAAGTTAGATATATAGTTAATTTAATCTCAATTTAATTTTTATTTTTTTTGTACATTTTCTGTAAGCTTTCCACTTTTAACTCTGCAAATGTATGTAACCCTTTTTAACTGTATTTAACCCTTAACCCTTTTATTTTTAATTATGTTATTTACTAAATTTTTATATTTTATGCATTATTTATAATTTATTCAAATTGTTTTAGCGCAATTGCAATATTAGATAACAATGAAAAAGATCAATATAATCTTCTAAAGTAAAGTAAAATAAATAAAATGCAGCTTTAAGATCGTCTCGATGGCAATGACCGGGGACGCCAACTGCGCTTGCGCATAAACAAAAAGGCACACAAAACTATAATTTCAACCTACGATCGACTAGATTTGTCCGGAAATTAAATGTAAACGTCGGAATCGCTGTTAAACAGATTAAACAAACCAGCAGCCACGCAAACAGAGACGCTTTATAAAATTCTGAGTCACTCACGGGATGCGTTAGCCTGTGCCGCCGCTAGAGGGAGTCATGGGAAATGTAGTTTTCAGAGTTCTAGAATGTTAAGGCGGTAACGAGGGGACGATGACGTGTAAAACTACAACTCCCATGCATCTTCCTCTCGGCAGCCGCCGCCGTGTTGTTGTCCGTGTAGCGCACTGTTGATGTTTTGGCTCAGTTGGAGAGGTTTACGCAGAGGACGTTTGCCTTCTTCTTTTCTTTCGCTGAGGTTTACCTCTAAAACAGGTAAGGGCAACATCCAATGCACCTAATGCAGTTTAAAGCCACCTTTAGCAGGACTGACAGACTAAAGAGACCCATTCATATTTTACTGTGTGGCTGTTAGAGTCAGTGTTTGGCATTTCAACAGTTCACGCACTGAATCAAATGTTGAGTTTTGGGCGTTTTAAATCTAATTTTAGATTATGCAATCTCCTGCCTCGATTTTATTTGCCTGAAAAAGATGAAATAAGACGCATTCTGCAATAATAATCGCTCAGCAGTTGTCGTGTTTATGTAGCTCTCTGTTTTAGCATAAACCATATTGTCGTAGAACAGAATCAAAGAAGTTATTTTTTTGCATCATCTATTAATCTGTGTATTTTGTAGATGTTACAGACCCCTAAATATGAGCATCCTCGTCCCAGGGACCCCCATCCTAAAATGTAAAAGGCAGCTATATATTTTCATGAATAAAGACTCAATTAATACTGTGAAAAATATATTATATATATAATATAATAATTATAAATAAGTGTAAAATATTATTTGAAAATATTTAGTTTCTGTTATGTCATGTAATTACATTCGTCTACTCACTCTATAGCACTGTGAGATGTATTAAATAACATTTTATTTATTTTATTGTTAGCCATTTGTTTATTTATTGAATTCAAATTTAGTTCCATTTAATCTTTTTATTTATTTAATTAAATCAAATTTAATTAGATTTAATATTTTTATTTATTTATTTAAAACTAATTTAGTTAGATTTAATGACTCTATAGCACTGTGAGATGTATTAAATAACATTTTATTTATTTGATTGTTAGCCATTTGTTTATTTATTGAATTCAAATTTAGTTCCATTTAATCTTTTTATTTATTTAATTAAATCAAATTGAATTAGATTTAATATTTTTATTTATTTATTTAAAACTAATTTAGTTAGATTTAATGTTTTTATTTATTTAAATCAAATTTAGTTAGATTTAATTAATTAATTAAATTATTTATTTTACATATTTCCACGGACCCTCTTTTATTTATTTATTTAAATCAAATTTAGTTAGATTTTATGTATTTATTTATTTTTTACATATTTCCATGGACCCTCTTTTTATTTATTTATTTATTTAAATCAAATTTAGCTAGATTTAATTAATTAAATTATTTATTTTACATATTTCCACGGACCCTCTTTTATTTATTTATTTAAATCAAATTTAGTTAGATTTTATGTATTTATTTATTTTTTACATATTTCCATGGACCCTCTTTTTATTTATTTATTTATTTAAATCAAATTTAGTTAGATTTAATTAATTAATTAAATTTTTTATTTTACATATTTCTATGGACCCTCTTTTATTTATTTATTTAAATCAAATTTAGTTAGATTTTATTTATTTATTTATTTATTACATATTTCCATGGACCCTCCAGCACTCCTTTGTGGTCAGTTTGAAAGCTTCAGATCTATAACACTAACACGCACCTAAATATCATGAATCAGATGCTTTTGCACTCATTAAGATCTGTTAAAGCGTTTCGGTGTTCAGTGGTTTTGTTTGGATGATGTTATATGTGTGCAATGGCTCAGTTCTTCTGCTTTTTTGGATGGTTAACAAACCAGAGTGTGTTATTTTTGCTAGCTCTTCCTGAAAAACAAACCAGTGAAACAACCAGATGATAGTTTTGACTCAGATCTCGGTTCACCTCGAAATGAAAGCTCTGACATGATTTACTCCCTCGCGCCTTTCCAGACCTGCGTGCTGTGACGGACTTTTCATGAACTCTTGCATATTGAATGCAGTGTTTTATGGGGTTAAAAAAAGTTTAGCATGAAGTTAAACCAGAATGCATCAGATTTCAGTGTTACTGTCAGATCTATATGAGAAGTTTCTTTATTGTGTCTGTAATTCTTCTTGTTTATGGAGACCTCTGTTCGTACGGCTTCTGCAAAAGCATAATAATCATTTCCCAGTGACAGGGTCAACCTGACATTTCCATCCCATAAATGAGCATTCATTACAGAGGACAACAATGTAGGATGAGACTTGAAATAATGCAGTTTGCAAACCTTGCATAGCCGAATGTGTGTGTGTTTTCCCCCTCGGGAGTAACAGTCCATGTTTCTGTTGTGGTTATTTTTGTCCTGTAGCTGGCTGAGAGATGTCCGACAGCTCCAGTGACACGGAGTCGTCCTGCGGATGGACAGTCATTAGTAATGAGGTGATTCACATTTTATTGCTTGGCTCGTTACCCATCGGGTTTACTTCTAATCTCAGTATAAATGCTTTTTGGGAGTTATTCTTGTACAATCCTCTGCTGGGTGAAGAACACATCTGGGTCATATTTTACTCCTAAATCTAAAAATAGAAATAATAAATTATATTTTGCGTAAAGAAAATTAAGCCTATTTTTAGGACTTTTTTTTTTTTTTTTGCAATTTGGCATTATTTTTATGACAATAAAGCACATTTCCATATTTTTTGATTGATTGATACTCATTAGATACTTTTTTTAAATTTTGGGTTAAAATATTTTGAAATATGATTGTGAGAGTGTAATGTATTTATAATGTAATGTAAATTTATACATTATTTTCATGACAATGAAGCACATTTGCACATTTTTGATTGATACTCTTTTTTTATATTTTGGATTGAAATATGACACTTTTTAATAAAAAATTATAAAAAAAAATAAAAATACAAACATTTATAAATTAAATATACTGTATGCATATACACACACACACACAAATTATATAAATATATGCAAGTTGTTTTTCACTTCACTGTTTTTTATACTGTTTCTTAAGCAAATACTTACTTTTAAAAGCTTAACACTTTTAAAGTTAAGCCATAGTGACTGTGTGTGTGTGTGTGTGTGTGTGTGTGTTTTATAGGGTTCGGATATTGAAAATCTGGGGCCGGATTACGCCGGAGAGTGTGAGGATGGAGCGGTTAGCCACGCTCTGGACGTACCTGATGGTGAGGATGTCACGCATTGTGCCACGTAAAATTAATAAACACAAAACTATTTATGTTGTTTGAGAGGGCAGGTTTTGTGGCATGAATTTAATGATTACAGCTGATGTAGAATGCAGTATTAATGTGTGGTTTATCATGTGTGTCATCAGCACACAAGAGGGAAAGGATGAATATGTAAAGTGGTCAAACAAGTTTGAAATATTTGAGCTTGTTTTTTCAGCCAAGCAGGGTGAGGAGAGTTTGGGAGAGTCTTCACTAGACCTCACACTGAGAGAGGAGGCGGAACCGGCCCAAGAGGTGTGATTAAGCCTGAAAATGACCTCCTGTCGAGTGTTATTGTTCTGCAGAGAGGAATCTAAAGGCTTAAAGAAGTGCCATTTGTGTTTTCTTGCAGGCGGGTGGAGAAGAACATGTGACCCTTTGCTCCTCCAGTGAGAACTCTGACATCATCACCCTGGCGGACTCTCAGGAGGCGGAGATTGACGCGTGGGAGGAGCCTGTTGCTAAGGAGGCGGAGGAGGAAGCAGGAAGTGAGGAGCTCTATCTCGGAAGCTCGTCGAGCAGCCAGTACACGTTTAGAGAGTCCGAGACAAGTGAGTGGAAAAGATGCTTACATGCGAATGAATGTCCTAATTAGCAGTGGAATTAAAGATGAATTAAAGAAAAGAATCATGTTGAGAAAGATAGCGATTGAGCATACAAAACTAAGGCTGCATGATTAACTGAAATAAAACCCTAAATTACAACAAGACTTATGATCTATATAAGCAGCTTATGATCTGTTGTCTTAATGGTGAAATATTACAATATTAATATTTCTTATTTGGTTTAATATTTTTATTTAGCAATTAATAATACAATAATAATACAATTTTTGTCCAAATCTAAATCAAATATCACAATTTTTAGCATAAAATATCAAGCTTGTGTGGCAAAACTACACTTCCCATGATTCTCTTCGGTAGTGCAAGAAAGATAAAATATGCATCAGTAGCACATTTCAAATGTACATCATTTGCTCTTCATTTTGTTGTACCAAGCTTCCTGTATTTGTCAATAAGTGAAAAAGAAAAAAAGAAATATGAAATTGCACAATGCATTTTTTTTTTACATCGTAATTACAATTTCCAAAGTTTCCGAAGTTGGAAAGAGGAGCTTTCCAGGTGAACTTGAGCTTGAATGTTTTTTATACATATGTGACCTCCTGTTATCCTGAAAATACTGGAGGAATTCCCAAGCTGCTTGAAAAAGGGTGATGCCGTGGTGGGAAAGTTTCAGAATTTCCTAGAAATATGCCCTGAAATTCCCGGTGTGTTGATCGCCCCATTGTGTCCGTGTTTTTCATTTTATGGATTCATCTCATAAAGAAATGTTTGGGTCATATTTCAGAAATGACATGTAATGCTTAAATGTTAATATTTTTGCATAAAGAAACTCTAATTTCTATCCACTTCCAGCTATTTTTAACTGTAAAAAAAAAATGTTTGGGTCATATTTCAGAAATGACATGTAATGCTTAAATGTTAATATTTTTGCATAAAGAAACTCATTTTTATCCACTTCCAGCTATTTTTAACTGTAAAAAAACAGCTCGTTTCGCTGCTTGATATTGCAAATTGGTGTGTCTTACCATATTATTTTAATGTATTATCTTAATTATGAACACACTGGTTTGTAGCACAAACAGTTTTACCGTTTACTGCACGTTGTTATTCTTCTCGTTATTTCCCTACAGCAAGTCTCGCACATTCACAGAAAACAGCTTACTTCCGCATTGATAAATAAGGTGGATAGAAGCTTATTTCCATCATAGAATAATAATAAAAACAGGTAATTGTGATATATATATATATATATATTTTGCAATTCTGACTTTTTACGAGATATTGCAAGATACAAACTCACAATTACATGTAGATATAAATTCACAATTCTGAGAAGAAAAGACTGAATTGTGCGATATAAAAAGAAAAAAGTTCAGATTGTTTCTGCCATTGAATAAAAAAAAAAAAAAATGTAACTGTGACTTGTGTCTTAAATTTCTGACTTTTTCCCTTGCAATTACGAGTTGCAAGATTTCGCAAACTTGTAATTCTAAGAAGAAAAGTGAATCGGGAGATATAAACTCGCAATTGAGAAAATAGTCAAGCTCATTTCCACAAAGGCATTTAAAATAAAAAAAGGTAATTGCGACTTTTTGATCTCAAAATTCAGACTTTCCTCACAATTACATGTTTTTATCTCACAATTCAGACTTTTTTTCTCAGTTTAGCGAATTTATATCTCACAATTATGATTTATATCTCTAAATTCTCAAAAAAATAGTCAGAATTGCAAGATGTAAACTCCTAATTCTGAGAAGACAAGTCAGAATTGTGAGATATAAAATAGTCACAATTCAATCTCGCAATTTTCAGAAAGTCAGAATTGTGAGATAAAAAGTTGCAATTACCTTTTTTATTTTTTATTCCATGGGCGAAAAACAAGCTTCCATGCATTTTTTAATAATTCTTAATAATAGTGATGATGATAATAATATAATGCTTAAATTTAATGCAAAATATAATTTTGTTTGATTTTGCGGTTGAATATGACCCACACGTTTTTATGAGTTTTCATGAGATTCGCCCTTGTAAGACACAAAGACATGTTGATCTCTCTCCCGGAGCGGCAGCAGACTGGTGTTGGAGCGGATGGGGATTTTCCAGGACGCTGTGGGAATATGGCAGCCATCTGCACAGCTCTCTCTCTCTCTCAGGTGCTCTGACATGGGAGTGTGAGCGTGTTGTGATCAGCATGCTGATAAAGCTCTGAGGACCTGAGCGTGTTTGTGAGTGATGTGGCAAAAATAGATTCTGATGAAACGCCCAGCCAATGGCTGTGAGAGTAAATAACACGTGTAAAGTGTGCGAAAAAGCCACATTAATGTGTTTGTTTGACCTACATTTCGGCATGCTATTAAATGTGTCATAAATCCATATCTCGACTAGACTGTGAGCTATTAGTGTTGGGTCATTCTGTCTCAACTCAGTTCAAAAATTGGAGAAAGCATGTCTTGTGTTTTTGTTTGCATGCCTGTAACACAAGAAGCATTAAAGATATCGAAATATCCTTTTATATTTCAGTTCTTAACAATGTTTTCTTTTGGGATCTTAATTTTTGAGGCCCTATATGCTTCATTTCCAGAGATATAGGGATTTCAGTGTGGCTCCTTGAGTAAATTGTTAAATTGTACACATTTTCAGTGGTCAAAGACCAAATGTGGGTCACTTTGCATACGGCTGATACTTTTTTCTTTTAAAGAGGAATGTCTGAAGAACAAATAATGTTGAAACTAGAAATGTATCTTGTTTCCCTCTATCAAAGTAGTTGCATAGAACATACCTGCCTGAGTGCCAATAATAACCTTTTTCCAAAGTTTGCGTGCCTGTAACTCAAGAAGTATTAAAGGTATCTTAATATCCTTTGAGATTTTAATTCTTAATAAACTTTTGTTTTGTAATCTTCATTTTTAAGGCCCTAAGTAATTCAATCCCAGATGTTTGGGGATATCAATGTGACTCAGAAGTCCAAATTGTTGAATTTGACCCATTTTCACGTTTAGTTTTTGGCCACTGAAAATGTGTACAATTTTAACCGTTTACTGTTGCAACCATATTGAGATCCCAATATCTCTGGAATTGAACCATACAGGGAAGAATGAAGATACCGAAAGAAAAGTATGCTATTAATACTCTTAACTTGAGACCCAAAATCTAAAACGGCATTAAGATATCTTTAATACTTCTTGAGTTACAGACATGCAAACTCTGGGGAAAAAAACTTGAAAAGTGCCTTTTCCTATTTTTTAACTGTCACCGTTGGCATATAATGCAACAAAGATTGCTAAACTCAACGGATTTTACAAATAGATCAACCAATCTCTGTGGAAAAATAACATAATTATGCTGCAGTCATTCTAAAGTCATTTTTACCCTCATGTAATTTGTCTCCAAATCTCCAAACATCTACAAAATAGTGGATAACTCAGTAAATATACATATGCGACATTAAAATTAGTTGGCTTTAATCACTATTTATGTTTTTCTTTCTTCATAAAAAAATTAATCAAATCAAATCAAAAATTTGAGCTGGGGAACTTTCTGAATATTGGTTGATTTTTCACATTTTTCACCTGCTGGACAATAAAACCGGTGAAAAAAATCCCACAGAACTTTTCTAGTTTTCAGCTGTTTTCATCTTTAAATATACTTTTTGTTTGACTTATTTGATATTCATCAGTGTTTGTAGGATCTTGGTTCCTTCAGGTGTGTTTCCGTTAAGTATTTCCCTTAACGCTGACACAGTAGCTTAACAGAGAATACAGAGCAGACATTCACAAAGCATTAGGCCTGCAGCTGTGTTTTTGGAGCAGTCATGTGCTGGTCTAGTCGATTAGCTCGTTACGCTAGCGTAAACAGGTCTGCATCGTGGCATGTGAAATGTGTTTTGCGAGCATGTGTTTGCCGTGAGTGAGCAGACATGAGTTACAGGAAACATCTTTGCACATGACGTTTGTCAGAAAGTGAGTGTGTGTGCAGGTCTTGCTATTTGTTCCCCAAAAAGTTAAAGTAAAACCTCACATAACCTTCATTGCAGGTCCTTTGGTAAGTCTGGTAAGGGACTAAATAATGTCTCAAAATCTCATGTATCTGTTTATCTGTCTATTTATCTACTGCTATTCATTTATTCATTCGTTCACATATTGCTATTTATTCATTTTATTAACTTATTTCTTTTTAATTATTTACTTATTGCTCTCTATTAATTTTATACAATTTTAATTTAGAATTAATTTTATTAATTTATTATTAATTTATTACTGCTGTTTATTTTTATTAATACTATTATTATTAATACTTTTACTATTTATTTATTTTAGTTTACTTATTGCTATTTATTTTTCCAGTCATGTACATATTGCTATTTATTTATTTGCTTACTTGTTGATATTTATTTATTTATTTACTTACTTGCTTATTGCCGTTTATTTATGTATTTACTTATTTCTATGTATTTATTTATTTATTTGTTTGCTTGTTTATTGATTGCTATTTATTTATCTATTGCTGAGTATTTATTGCTATTGTTATTTACTGCTGTTTATTTATTTCACACTTCCCAGTGGTAATTATAATTCGCTTCATTTAAGAACAACAGACGTCAATGGGACGTCAGCACCATGTATGTGTATGTGTGTATGTATGTGTGTATGTGTGTGTGTGTGTGTGTATTAATTCCTCTGGGTTGTGTGTGTTTATCCGTACTCAGTGTTCCCAGCGGATCAGCCTGTGCAGCGAGACGGCGGTAACAGTAGCAGTGAGGATGAGGAGGGTGAGGTGAAGGCCAGTCCTGTGTTGAGGAGACGCAGAGTGAGGAGGAGCACCGCCGGCTCAGAGCCTGGAGACCCGCAGGAGCCCCACAGGAGACAGGAGGAGGTGCTGCGTCTCAAAACAACTCATTACTCCAGCATCTACTCAATACAGATTAGATATGAGCACAATACAATTACTAATAGTTTTTATTTTATTATTCTTTTTTTAACATTTTACTTTAACATAATACTTTAGGTGTTTTAATTTGCAACTAATAATGTTGTTACTACATGAAAGATATAAATTCATTAACATGCTTTCACTTGAAAAACAATCCTAATATAAAAAGATGTTTTTTTTTCAGTACATTTTTTTTTTAATTGTAATTTTAGTTTTTAGTGTAATTGTAGTTTTAGTTTTAGTTGAATTTGTAATTTTGTAATTGTTTTTTTTTATTATATATATATATATATATATATTCAGTTTTAGTTATTTTAATGCATCAAGTTAATCTAAATGAAAATCAAAAATATTCCCTGGCTTAGCCAACTAAGTTTAAGGTTTTTAATTTAATTTAATTTAATTAAAAGTTTATTTTATTTCAAATGGTTTATGGTTTTACTCATGGTTAAATGGTTAAATACTCATTTATTGAAATGACTTACAAATAATTTAGTGTACTGCACTGTTTTTAATATAAATAGATAATATTTTTATTCAAAGATATAATAATGATACCAATAAATATAAATTCATAATTAAAAATATTTAATAAAAAATAAAAATACTTTGGCTGGAAACGATGGACATATTTGATGCAACACATTAGCCAATGTTTTCTTAAATCATTCTTGCATTTTCCACACAAGCTCATTTATGTTAGTCAGCTATCTCAGCACCAACATTAATTGTGCATGTTCTGAAATGTGTGATTCTACATCAGGCTGTTGAGGGGGTAGCAGTCTATCCGGATGGCCTCGCTGCTCGTCAGGATCAGGGTCCCGTCAGCAGCACCCTGAACAGATGCATCCTGCTAGCGCTGCTCATCGCCATCAGCATGGGCTTCGGGCACTTCTACGGTGAGTGTTTTTTTTACAATGATCTTTTAAGAAATATAACCACTTAATATTTTTTTTTGGATCATTTTTGCATGTATGGAGTGCTATTAGATGTCAAAAACACCTAAATTAAATTGATGCCAAAAACTTTTGTAAAATACATTTAGCCTTTTCCCCATATCTCACACGCTTTTGGGACTGAATTTTGCTGATAAAAAAGAGCTCGATAAAGAGCGCATGGTGACCGACAAGCTCAAGGAGGAACTGGAGGAAATAAGAAAAGAGGAGGACGTCGAGGGCAAGACGGATCCCGAGACCGAAGAACTGCAGGCGCGACTTCAGGAGCTCGAGAACAAGCTGAAGTTCGAGCAGCAGCGCTCCGATCTTTGGGAGAGACTGTACGTGGAGTCGAAGGAGGAGAGAGCGAAGGGCGACAGGGACGTCAAGACCAAGATTCCCAAGGATGGGATGCTGGGAAAAGTGAAGGAAACCTTAGACGCTGTGAAGAACTCCACGAAGGAGTTTGTGCACCATCACAAGGAGCAGATCAAGAAAGCCAAAGAGGCGGTTAAGGAAAACCTCCGGAAGTTTTCAGACTCCGTTAAATCGACGTTCAGGCATTTTAAAGACTCCGCCTCGAATGTCTTCAGCCATGAAAAGAGGTTTCACGACGCCAAACCCGAGCATCACACGTTTAAGCAGGAGCAAGGAAACAAGCGTGCCGAAGACTGGCAGCCGCAGAAACCTTTACACCGACATCCTCGCAAATCAACCAGCGACTCCGTTCACGCTGATCGCAACACGCGCAAACCCGGCGCTCAGAGAGACCACAGCACCATGGGACAGAAAACGCCGCCCAAAGGCTGTTCTGGAGTGTTCGACTGCGCCTATCAGGAGTCCATGAGTCTGTTTAACAAGGCCATGGATCCCATCCGCGCCGATGAGTTTAACGAGCTCCTGCGCAGCTATTTGCAGAAAGAAGTCGGACATTTCCACCACTGGAGGGAGCTGGAGAGCTTCATCGATAATTTCTTCTATAACGGCGTCTTCATCCACGACCAGATGCTGTTTACGGACTTTGTCAGCGGCGTTGAGGATTACCTCGAGGAAATAGACGAATATCACAGCCTCAGCGACGACGTGTTTGAGGATCTGGACGACTACATATACCGCCACATATTTGGAGATACGTATCTAAAATACTTTGGGCCGAGGTAAGCTGTTTTGTGATGTCAAAATAATCTTATTCAGAGATCCAGATAGTGAAATTATAATCTAAAGGCTTGTTCACACCGGGACGAATATCGCGCGCGATTATCGCCGGCGTTTAATGCCTCGTGACTAAACAAAGGGCGCCAATGTGAGTGTGCACACCGATGTGCAAAACGCGAGGCGTAAAAGCGTCATTTAAAAAAAAAAAAACGCCTCTGGCTCGTTTTTTTGGTTTGACGCGCCGCGTTAAAAACTGGCCGACCAATGAGATTGGCGCTTTTGTTCACATGCCTGGAGCTGCTGAAGTTACAGTAAAACATGACTTGGTGGCGCTCAAGCACAAAACGGTCTTGCCGAGCACACATTGATACCTAACGACAAAGAGGAAGTAAGTAGACCAAGATGCACCGAGGCAAGATGAATGTAGAGCTGCAACAGCGACTACAAAAATCTCGATAAGAGGGAGTTGTTATGGAGAGGAATTGCAGATCAAATAGGATGCGATGTGTACCGGGGTATTGCTGTTTTTCATTAAGCGCCATCTAATGTCAGGGAGTGAATTTGCACATTCACTCGGCTCATCGCCTGCGAAAATCACTTGGGTATGAACACAAAAGACGCATTGAAAAACGTCGGCGATAAGCGCGCGCGATAATCGTCCCGGTGTGTACGAGGCTTAACTCAGCATAATTTGCATATGACTGTATTTTATTTATTTGGAATTGATCCTTAATTAAGCTCCGCCCCTCATTTACTGTTGCCTGCTTAATATGTTTTTTATTAAAGACATTGTTAAATTATTCAGTAATGTGTTTTTAAACGTTCTTTCAACTAGGGTTGTAAAAACGTTCCAGAAATTTTTGAAAATTTCCGGGATTTTTTTTGTAAATTTTAGGAATTTTCAGAAACTTTTGGAGAAAAGTTTTTTTTTTCCGCTTTGCAACCCTATCTACAACACATTCCCTTTGGCAACTTTAATAATTATCAAGATCAGGATCTTACACTGGAAAAACGAAAAAGACTGTAACAAAACTCTTTACATAAGTTTGAGGGAAAAAAAAGTAACTTTATTTAGTCTTCAGTTCAGATCCTCTCGTGTATATTAATATGTTCCGTCCCACGCGACCTTCGGGAAAATGAGTGTGGAATATTTCAGCTTTTTTGGCAAATCGGTTTTCCTCCAGGAATGATGAAATCTCCTGAAAGAGGAAGAAACAAACTCGGTATTTGATCAAACCTCTAAAAGTAAGTATTGAACTTTAGTGTGCATATATCATTTTAGTGATGTGACTGCACTTCACTGTTTTGGATCTGTTACCTTCTCCAGGCAGTCGAACAGCACTATATGTGAAGGCAGCTTGGACTGAGATGGGAAGGACGTTCTGAGCCAGTGAAGAGGGTTGGAGAAGAACACGTCTGCTTCATCCACATACTCCTCATTTCCCGTGAGATCTGGTGGACACTCCAGGAACCGCAGTTTGAGGGGACAGTGCAGGTGACTGCAAAACATAAGTGCAACCAGCCTCTTATTGCTTTAACCCTATAAAGTTACTGGACGCGCCTCTAAATGATCAACATGATCAAACTTTACTGTTAAACCTGTCGCATACAATCTACTGCACGCCTTCTGTCTGATTGAGAGTTTAGAGTTTTTTTATCCAGTTAATGCTCTTTTAGTGTAATTGTACAAACGTCCAGCTTCAGCTGGAGCTTCACGTGTCTTTCTGCTGTCAAATCTTGACTGATTTTTATCAGGTAAACTTAAGAATATCCTAAGATACTGTTAGTAGTATTTCCAGATGAACACTTACTGGACTGAAGCAGCTTAAGTTACTTGATTCACCATCTGAGTATCAAATCTGATCATCAAATGTGCGAATTATTTTGATTTGGATTACTTACCAAAAACAAAAAAAAAAGCACTTTGTTTTGTTGCATTTTAATTAATTATTAATGTTTCTAAACAAAAAACTGAAACGTATGTTTAATTTTGCTTAGGACCAAATAACCAAACAAAATGCATTATATTGAAATTATTTCAGTAAGTTCAGTAGATTTGGAAGAATAAGGAAAACATTATAAAAATAACTGAAGTAATCTGGTTTGACCGGTTTCTGCTGTACCAGTTTTCTTGGAACATGCAAATCAGTAGAAGGTATGATTTAAGATTTACTTTCAATCTGCACTTGTTAGTGCACTATTTTTCCCTCTTTTTCTTGTCTGTGTGGCTATCGGCTAAATGACATTCCTTGTTTGGAAACGGCTCTAATGTAATTGAACACAAATGCACTTAAACTGCTTAATGTTGCACTTAAAGTCTAGAATAAAAGTCTTTCACTGCTTCACTGATGATTGTCCTCCTGCTTTGAGCTGAAAAAGATCAGGATCTTACACTGGAAAAACGAAAAAGACTGTAACAAAACTCTTTACATAAGTTTGAGGGAAAAAAAAGTAACTTTATTTAGTCTTCAGTTCAGATCCTCTCGTGTATATTAATATGTTCCGTCCCACGCGACCTTCGGGAAAATGAGTGTGGAATATTTCAGCTTTTTTGGCAAATCGGTTTTCCTCCAGGAATGATGAAATCTCCTGAAAGAGGAAGAAACAAACTCGGTATTTGATCAAACCTCTAAAAGTAAGTATTGAACTTTAGTGTGCATATATCATTTTAGTGATGTGACTGCACTTCACTGTTTTGGATCTGTTACCTTCTCCAGGCAGTCGAACAGCACTATATGTGAAGGCAGCTTGGACTGAGATGGGAAGGACGTTCTGAGCCAGTGAAGAGGGTTGGAGAAGAACACGTCTGCTTCATCCACATACTCCTCATTTCCCGTGAGATCTGGTGGACACTCTAGGAACCGCAGTTTGAGGGGACAGTGCAGGTGACTGCAAAACATAAGTGCAACCAGCCTCTTATTGCTTTAACCCTATAAAGTTACTGGACGCGCCTCTAAATGATCAACATGATCAAACTTTACTGTTAAACCTGTCGCATACAATCTACTGCACGCCTTCTGTCTGATTGAGAGTTTAGAGTTTTTTTATCCAGTTAATGCTCTTTTAGTGTAATTGTACAAACGTCCAGCTTCAGCTGGAGCTTCACGTGTCTTTCTGCTGTCAAATCTTGACTGATTTTTATCAGGTAAACTTAAGAATATCCTAAGATACTGTTAGTAGTATTTCCAGATGAACACTTACTGGACTGAAGCAGCTTAAGTTTACTTGATTCACCATCTGAGTATCAAATCTGATCATCAGGCTTTTAAAGGAACGTTTGTTTGTTCATCTCAACTGTTACTGCACTGCATTATATGTTTTGAAACTGCAGATCTTTGATCATAAAAGAGAGTGATAGCCTTCATATATAATGCATTGTAATTCATTTTTAATGCATTAATTATGCCTTGTAATGCACCTTATAATGCAATGTATGATCTCATAATTATAACTACAGTTATGATACATTATAATTCTTATCTATTCACTTTCACACCTTTAGAATGTATAATGCATTGAAACACTTGGCAAACAACCGATTTCAGATGCAACAAGGAATCTGCCGATATTAAAATGCATTTTAAATATTACAATAGTTACAATTATTTATGAAAAGATATAATGCATTTGGGAGATTATCCATTATTGGAGACAATACATATAATGCATTTTGGAGATTATCCATTATTGGAGATAATATTTATATCATTTTATGTAACTATCTGCTGCACTGTTATAAAGATCTCACTGATTTACATTAGAAGCATCAGAATTTCATCTTACTTTATAAATATCAGCGTCTGCACCAAATTGCATATTTTTGCTCCGTTTGGCCCTTTGAATAATATTGAGATCTTTTTACTACATATTCTCACTATATCAGACTATATGAGCCATAAAAGCCTGATGTATCAAATATGATACACATGCATATTCAATTTTTTAAAATTATTTTGTCTAAAGTTTCAAACTGCTCCATTTAATAAAATAAAATGTTTTTATTATTTCATATGTCAGGCTTTACAGAGTTAATGCACCATAGTTTAAAAAGTACTTCAAAGAGTACCGCAATTATTTTCGATGTAGATGGTTACCTGTAGAGTGGTGTGGAGTGACACGGCATGAGGAACAGCAGCTCAGGCGAGTTCTGAGACTCGCGGACGTCACACAGTTGCTGCAGGTCATGCATGACGTCCAGAGATCCACGCTGGTGAATTAAACCCGTGTATAATGCAGGAATCAGATTGAAGAGCAGCAGGGCAGCAGCAGCAGGTTTCCTCCACGCTTGCATCTTCGCTAAAGACATGCCTGTCAGTGCAAGCACGTGAACACCTTCAGAATGCTTTCAAATCTACACAAACGGCTAAATGTTCATGCACTCACCGCTAAATATCATACAGAATGGCAGCACTGGATAAACAAACCGGAACTCCTTGTGTGCAAGCAAACTGCAAAAACACATTTAATGAGCTAAATAAAATAGATTTTTGCATGCTCGTCCAATGCTATCTCTGTATATGTGTTGTGTCTCGGTGCACCTGTAAATGGCTGTAGTCCATAAGACGGTTATCAGCAGGATTCTGTGCTTTTTGGTAGCCAGTGAACATCCGTGCAGGAAGAGAGGAAGGTGCGGGCCGAGCACGACCGGCAGACCCTGAGTGAAGTACCAGTGCCACGGATGAGCTCCGTAAAACTCGGCCACATTGTGCAGCACGTTAAACTTCAGGAAGTTCCACTGGACCAGGATCCACTTCAGAAATACAGACAACGTGAGGGTAATGATGGTGATACATGAACTTCACACTTCTGTCTATGCCTGAAAGCTTCTTGCTTTTATTAAAAAAGATCTAAAAGTGGGAATCACATGAAGACTAAAGAACATGTCCAGTGCATATTTAACCCACAAATTATAATTTTGCATAATGACAATTAACCACCTAATTCTTTTTACCATGAAGCGTCCAGATGTTGACTTTTTTTTTTTTTTGGTAACATTTTTAAACTTCTATACATTTTTAGTAGTAACACGTCATAATTTATTATTTTTATGAAAAGTGCAGTTCCTTATTCATGTCTGTTATTAACTAAAACTATGACCTTAAAAAAAACATTGTTTATTAAAAATAAGCTGGGAAAAAAAATTGAAAAAGCTGAATTAAAATAAAATATAAAGTTAAAAAACGTATATTTAGACAAAAACAAAAAAATTTAAATGCTGCAATTACTAAAACTGAAATAAAAAAAGCTACATAGAAATAATAAAAACAATTAAAAATACAAACTAATAAAAATTTGAAAATGAAAACTGATGTGTATATAGTGAATTTAAAATATTAAATAAATACTATAATAGTATATAAATAATACTAAAATAACACTAGTTTGTCCTTTTGTTGGGTTGAAATATGACCTGAGCATCTATTTCACTCAAAATAAAGAAAAATACATTTGTTGTTTTAGGCTTTTTGTTCACTAGAACTAAACACATTATAAGTATACAAGTAACAATACACAATTTAAGTATGTGAATAAAATAAAAAAAATACCTTTCCATAGAACACGGAGTCTATTAGTGTTGAGACACCCAATGCAAGAGCCCTGCGCAGATGATGGAAACATCAGTGAATATACAGGAGACTAACACCGATTATCGCCAGCAGCATCCAGACTGTAAATTACAAGTGGAAACAAATGCAACATTTACGCAATGGGAAAGCATCGCTGTGTGATGAGCTTCAGCTTGTGCTTTTCCATGCAGAAATGATAGAAGAGCAGAGGAAGCCAGACGATCAGAGCTGTGGGACGGACAACGATGGCCAGCGACACCAGAGACAAATACTTCCAGCTGATGAGGAGAGAGCAGAAAAAAAAAAGGAGTCTTTAACAAGTTTGTGCACTCAGTGGTGTGTAGTTATGACACTAAATAATGCACCTGTTGTGCGTTTTGGAGCCGGGTAAAGGGTAAAAGCAAAGTGCCAGGGTGGTCAGAACCGTTTCCATGGTGTTGGTCAGAGTCCGGCTGCAGCAGAACCAGGTGAACCATGAACACAGCTGACAGAAATACTGACAGAAAACACAGCAGAATGGAGTCAAACCAACACAAAAGCATTCAAAATAATGTGTATCTGCCTAATATCTTAAAGGAATAGTTCATCTAAAAATTTTAATTGGCTGATAATGTCCTCACCCTCAGTTCATCCGAGATGTAGAGGAGTTTGTTTCTTCATCAGATTTGGAGAAATGTAGCATTGCATCACTTGCTCTGCAGTGAATGGGTGCCGTCAGAATGAGAGTCCAAACAGCTGATAAAAACATCACAATAATCCACACCACTCCAGTCCAGCAGTTCACATCTGGAGAAGACAAAAGCAGCTGAAACAAATCCATCATTAAGACATTTTTAACTTCAAAATTTCCGATTATGAGTCCTCAATCCATAATAATGTTTTATACAGTGAAAATGTGGTCTGGTCTGAATCAGGAGAGAAATCTGCACAGATCAAGCGCCGTTTACAAGCCAAAACAGCTCTAAACAAATACGTGGTTTGATTTGATGTGAGAGGAAAACAGAAGATGGATTTTTTTCACTGGAGGACGCGTTATTATGGATTATGGACTCGTGTTTTAGCAGGAAGCAACGGTTTGAAGTTAAAAACATCTTAATGATGGATTTGTTTCA